AACATCTACTTGGATATGCGTGATACCCATCTTGGTTTTAAGCTTCATTTATTCAAAGGAAGATTGTTCGATGCTTTCAAAAAATAAAAAGCAGAACATAAAGCAAAATCGGAGGAAGATTCAGATGAGGAACCTCAAACTTACTTAACTTATGTAAACAATCTACTACATTCTCTGTTCTTCAACCGTGAAGTTTATTTTAACAATACAATGGTTTACAACGCCAGTGGTTTACATCCTCATAAGGCACAAATGTCGAACGAATTTAACTCGTCAGCAGTGAGAAATGAAGCAATATTTGCTTGTCATGGATACAGTTTTGAACATTATCCTGATGCTTTTGATATGCATCCATTCACTGATAGAGCAAATTCCTTAGAAACAGGGATAACTTTTTCACTCTATGGGATGCTCGTCATTGATTTGTTTACTTGCAAAAAATTGATGCTGCCAAATACCAAAGTTCGAATTAAACTTATTCGAGCTATACCTAATTTTTACATGCTATCTGATAACCCAAATGTCAGTCTGAAAATTGTTGACTGTTCGCTGTTTACTAGAAGAGTTCTAGTTGCTGAACCTAATCATCATAACTTGCAATGGAATCTGGAAAGAGAACCTGCTCAATACAATTACATGGAAACTATAGCAAGAACCTTTATCATTCCATCTGGTCAAAACCAGTTCATTCAAGAAAATATTTTCAATAACGCTCCAATAAGGAGAATAGCTGCTGCAATGAATACAAATTCAACTGCTGCAGGATCTTTTCATGAAAACCCTTTCAGCTATCAGACATTTCATTTAAGAGGACTTATTCGGGGTGGAAGAGCAATTGTTTCATTAGATACAACTTCTCCTTGTCGACCTTGTGTTACAACAATGAAAGCATTGCAGTTTAATGAAGAATTCCCAGCTCTTCCTATGGAAGATTTTCAAAATCACTACTTTCTAGTTTTCGATTTGACTTCACTACAGAACAGTTGCATTATCCAGAACTTAGTGGAGAAAGCTTGAGATTAGAAATGTTTTTCCAGTTTCCCTAGGAGCAAGTAACGAAAGTGATAGTCTTGGGAGAAAGACTATCAAATGTCCAAATCGACAAATTTGGAACAGTCGCTAAAAATGGTTAGTTTTTTTTTGAGTTTTCAGGTTCGTATAAAAGTGTTGTAACTTTTTTGGGATATTCAATGTTTTTGTCTCTGTACTATCTATTTTGTTTTTCTTCAGACTTAAATCTCCAGAAAAAGCAGATAATGAATGCTGTTTAATTGAAAACCCAAGAATTTCTTCAACCTAGACTGTAAACCAGTGTTAAATAATCTTTGTCCAGTTCACAAGTTTTGAGTATGGGACTTTGTTGATTCAATACATAAATCTGCGTAAGTCAACTTTATTTTTTTTCAACCTAAATTACCATATCAAACTATATATTTATTTGTTTCAGATGTAAACTAGCTAACAGTTGCAAAGATGGATAATTTTTCACTTCTGTAAACTATTGAAAGAATTCCTGAATTCAGGTTCAAGTACATGAGATCTTACCCTTCCGATAACGTTCCTCGACTAACAAAATACTCTTTTGCAATTGTTAACTCAGCCCCAAGCAATGATAGAGGGGAACACTGGATCATGATAGCACGATTGGACAAAACTTACTTTTTTGCTGATTCTTTGGGTCGAAAAAGAACAATATATTCCGTTCTAACAAATAAGAATTGGCGAATGGTTCTCAGAAAACTACAAAAAACTGATAATTTGTGTGGATTTTACGCAATTTATTCAGCATTTCTTCTTTTTAAATTCTACCCGAGAAACTTGAATAAAATTCATGATGTACATCTTTTGAATTTTATAAGTAATTTTATGTAAATATAAAGTTTTTTATTTGTAAGTGTAACTTATGGCAGTAAATTTACTATATGACGCAGTGATTTATTTATTTTCTTTGTATTTTAAGTTTTTTTTCTCAAATTTTTGACTTTTTTTGAAGTTTCAGTAGGTTTCAGCTTTGCTTCAAGTAGATAGAAAGTAGATTACCTAATAAATTAGGCAGAATTATAGCTAATCTTATCGTGTTTTGAAGTTTTTTGAAAATACCCAAAAACTTACCATTCACTTACCATGTTCCAAAAAACTATTTAAAAGACCTTCATCACACAATCTACACGTAATTAACCTTTGATATTTACAAATTAGATAACACGCGCCAAAAATTTTGCGAAAAAAAACAAGACATTTCCACTCAAAAACCAAAAAAAAACGTTTTTTTACCATTATCTTACGATCACACAAACCATAAAACCTTACCATTGGTATTCCCTATCTTAATACTTTGTAAACTCTATACCCAATCTTAATACGTAGCATCGAAGACCGGAAATCTATAACGTGTCTTAATACATGGGGTCTTCCATGCTCCCCCCCCCCCCTGATCACCTCCAACATCTACTACTAGTAGCATAACATAATTTCCTTTCACTTTTCTGCTTACACACTGCAAACAAAAAATCGCCAAACAATTGAGTTGACCTCCACAGACGGTAAAAGCTCCAAATCTATGGAAAAATACTAGTCATACAAATTTCATGCATTTTGCTGAAAAGGTATCATCGAGTTTCAAAGAACTTTTCTTTTGTTTTGGCATAACAGTCGGTATATGGTCATAAAAAAAGAAAGCCTCCTGTCCTAAATCCTAAAGTCATTTGTTCTTCGCCTGCTCATTAATTCGCCTGCTCGCTCTTTTTTTCGCGAAAAATTAATAATAGTGTAAAACAACACCTACATACTTCAATTATTCTTTCTTTCGACTATATCACAAAATGATGAGAAAGACCAACAGCGTGAATAGTTTTTTTTTGCACTTTTTTTACTCCACTAACAACTTTTAAAGGGAACAGTGTCAATTAGAAAATAATGTTGAAGCTATTCCTGTCGTGATTTGAATTCTTGATAACAATAAAAAAAGTAATCTAAAAAAAATTGATGTCATTTTGATTCACGAATTCTTTTAAATATTTCCAAGTTTGGTGAAGATCGGATAACTTCTCTTCATTTTAACGAAGATTTGTTTCGGATATGAATCTAATGCAAGTTTTAATTACCTTGAATCCTGTGGCGGTGACCTTTCTTTTGACTTTTTCTCCAATTTTTGAATCGAAGAAAGAGACGGAACAGTTTCCTTGGCGTGGTTTTTTTTTCAAATAAAATTTGAACAACAACTTGCCGTCTTGAACAATTTTCTAATACCACTTGGAAGGTTTTGAAGTGCTGAGCTTAATTTTGAAAAAAAAATTCAACTGGAATTATTTTAGCAAAGGTTTCAAATAAAGTTTGTTGAAAACTTTTCTCTAAACTTTTTTGATGGACGCTTAAAGAAATTCAGACATATCAGGTTCAATCAAGGTTTTGTGGTCGATGTAGTAATTTGTCTTACCATTTTTAAGAAAAAAAATTATAGAACGCCTAAAATATTTCTGTTCGAAAAAAAATTATAAACCTAAATTTAGTCTAATCCAATGTACCTTAACAATTCATATAAATAGTGGATGTTGGGCTGAGCAAGGGGAGGGGCGTGGAGCAGACTACATGTATTAACATACGTTATAGATTTACGGTCTGCCGCGCTATGTTTTAAAACTGAGTATAGAGTCTTAATGTATTAGATCAGGAATAGAATTGGTAACGTTTCAGTGTTTCTGTCATAGTATGAGAATGGTAAGATAAAGTTTTTTTTTATAAATTTTCCCGTGGATTTTGTATGGAAATCTCAATTTTTTTTGCAATAAAAAGAGGCGCAACATATAATTGCTGAAATTTTTTTGGGCATTATTGGTACAGTGTATATTGAAATCAAAATTGTATGCTGATTGGTGTCATGGTAAGACAATGGTAAGAGTTCTGCAAAAATTCTTCCCATGTTCCATTGTCTCAGCATGTTACCAATAAAGACTCTCTGGTTTTTTATGTACATTCTACTCATAAAACAACACAATTTTGAAACAATTATTTTACGTGTCCGATTTTTTTGCAAAAAATCTCGCGATTTCCATTCAAAAACTAAAAAAAAGCTATTAGCTATTTTTACCCAAAAAACAACCCAAGATGATCGAGTTCATGCAAGAAGTTTGAGTTCATGAGAACTGATGCAGTGTAGTTATAGTATAGGCTACTCAGTATTTTATTGATTTTATGAAAATATTCTATAAAGTTGCTGTAAATTTTTATAAGATGCAGTGATTTTTAAACTTTCCTTGCTTAATTTTTTTCTCAACAACCTCGATTCTTTTTTTCACTTTTCAGGAGGTTTCAACAAAGTTGTTGCAATCTGTAACACTCTACAAAAGCTAAAAATCAAAATTGGTCATCAAAGTTTTATTTTTTGAAAATAAAAACTAAGAAAATCTCATTTTTTTTCTGCAAAAACTCTTCCCTGTTCCATTGTTTTAGCATGCTACCAATAAACTTTATATGGTTTTTTATGCACACACTACTCATAAAACATAACAATTTTTTACCAATTATTTTACGTGCCCGTTACGAATAAACCAATTATTCTAGAGATTTCCATTCAAAAACCACAAAAAAAACTATTTTATCCTACCAATCTCTTACCATGACACATAGACTGAAACCTTACCAACTCTATTCCTTATTCAAACACATTGTAGACTCTATAACCAATTTCAATACATAGCGCGGCAGACTGTAAATGTATAACGCATGTAATGCATGAGGTCTGCCCCATCCCTTCCCCCTCTGCTCAGCCCCAACATTTTCGATTTTTATAGAAGGAAATTATGAAGATGTGGCTTTCGCACATCGTACAAATTTTCCAAGCGGCATTAAACATAAAATTGCAGTTCTCAAGCATCGTGAAGCTAGTTTAAAAAAAAAGTTTTGATTTCAAATTAAATCAAGAATCATGGAGTTTAAACCATATAGTTTCAAGAAGTATAATCATAGAGTTTAAAGAAGTTTTTTATATATATTTGCTCAGCATATATCAAGTGTTCAATTGTTTTGATATTGTCATGTTAAACAGAGAAAGTTTGTGCCCCCTCCTGAAGAGATTCAAAGTTGCACTGGCTCAACGAAAATGTCACGACGCCTTCTTTTCTTTTAGAGTTCACAAACTTGGTCATATCTTGTTCGCACATTTCATTACCACTTTCCCTTACTCCTTTTCTGGCTAGAAGTTGATCGAGTCGTGAAGCGAGAAGCCGTTTGACACGATTAGAGTTCGACGCGAAGAATTCGTAACACCGCCGTCGGAAGTAGTAGCTGCTCGCCATATAGAGCACTGGGTTCAGGGCAAAGTGTATGACATAGCTCATGTAGAGAATACTCCCTACCTTGTTCACCTCCTAAAATAATTTAGTCTTAATTAGTCTTAAAAAAAGTTAGTGTCAATTACATAGCATTTACGAAAATTTTTGTGAGGAAAGGAACCGATCGCGGTTTATTATACTTATCACTGCGAACCGTTGTTGCTCACTCATTTTTATAATCGTAATTTGACATTCAAAATTTGAACCCTATTTCAACTTAATTCGAGCAGTCAAATAAGTGACAACGCAAAAAAATGCTTCTGGGCTAAGCGGATTTGTTTCTCTTTTAGCGAAATTGTTTCCAGATTACAACAGAACAATATCGATTAAGCTGATCGAATGAACGAATCGTCAAATAAACTGGGGCGCAAAAAACCTCTCGATAAAAAAAAGTTTGTTAGATTCCATGACCTACTTTTGAAAAAAAATCTATTATTAAGACAATTCAGAATCCTGCAGATTTATTCATAATAAAAAATTGCATGCAGGATAAAATTGATCTTTTCACTGAAAAAACTTAAATAGAAGAAGTAAATAGAAGAAGTAAATAGATAGAAAAAGTAAGCAATAAAGCCAAAACATGAAATACTCTTAAAACAATACATCAATACAGGACATGGTCACAAAAATTATGAGTCAATTATCACAGTTTTCAATTGCCTGAAAAAGTGCCAAGAAAGTAAATGCATAACGTCGAAAACTAGAGAGTAAAAAAATAGAAAAAGCATAAAACCAAAATCAACAAATATATTTTTTTTGAATTTACGAAATTATGTGCCAAAAAATCAAGGGTTACTATTCATTGACCCAATTCAACTTTCCATTAAAAATAAGTGACAAAAATTTGTATGCTATCCGAATGGTATCTATTTGCAAAGCTTAAAAATGGAAAGATATTTATTTTTTGATCATTTTTGTGAGCTTCTGGGGTTCGAAAACGCCATTTTAGCCAGATTGCAATCTTTTCATTTAATCGCCTCATTTAATCGCCTCAAAAAACCTCCAAACTCAATTCAGGCATTGACGTCCGTTTCGTTTGTAAGCAGATACAAAAATTATCACTTCTTATCAGAATGAAAAAATTTTATTTGCATTCGATGGGCAATTCCAAAGTAGAAATTGTTAAAATTATTGAAGTCTTTGGTTGTTTTTGAATTTATTGTGTTTTTTTTTCGTCTAAGTTGCAGTTTTGGGATAGCTCATGTGCACTATTTTTACAAAAATTTTTATCAATTGTTTGTCCAGCCCCGCCAAATTGACGGCTCGGAAATCATTCCAAATTGAATTGAAACAAGCTATTAGGTCAACAAACTTTGACTAGACGCAAAATTTATAAAAAACTATTCGTTGTGAACAAGACACTGAACAGAGCAAAACAAACATGAAAAAACTTGAACTAAGGATGGTATTGTATTAGTCAGAAAGAAAAAACTTTAATTGATTAGTTAAGTTAAGATTATGTAATTTAATAGAAAAATTTATAATGACGCAGTCATCAATCAACCAATCTGGCATGTGGGGAGTTCCCCCATTCTGGCAAAATCACAGAAATTCGACCAAGGCCATGGGCAGACATATACTTCAGTTCAGGGGCGGATTTAGGGGGGGGGGGGGGGGGGGGGGGGCGGACGCCCCCCCCCCCTCAGGGATTCGACCCCCTGCCGACCCAAAGGGTCCCCCCTTTGACACTTTTTCAGAAATCCATTTTTGGCCGACCGACCCTAAAATTTTTCTAAAGGCGCCTTTGGCGCCAATAATACTAACTTTGAGGGGGAGCGCGCGCCAAAAAAAACGCGATTTTTTGTCAAAATTTTTCAAAAAGTGCCCAAAAACGGCTTTTTTGACTGTTTTTTCAAAAAAATGCCTGCGGAGCACAAAATTTAGCCGAAATAGGGGCAAAACAGTGCTTTGGGAGAGCTCGAAAAATCAATTTGGTCCACCTAAAAAAAAGGTCGTCAAAATTTTCGATTTTTTTTTGAAAATCCGCCCCCCCCCCCTCGAGAAAATCCTAGATCCACCCCTGCTTCAGTTGACACTGATAGCTTCAGAAAACATCAAACAAGAGAATCTTTGAAATCGTTGAAACTTGAAGGCCCATAGATAGAAAAACAACAAAACAAATCAGCTACAGCAAAAAATGAACGTCTAGTTGAAAACTTAGAAGAAAAAAAAGAATCGATCAAAATGAAAACGAGTCAATCAACTTGTAACGAAAATTTCAGTTAAGTGCGCTTGTAAGAAGCCGACAAGATAATCCACTCAATGCTATAATTGGCATCAGATAACGAGAGGAAGCGTATATTTGCCCAGAAACTCACTAAGGTAAAGTCCTTCGGAGGGGTTTAGGAAAACTATAGAATTACCTCAACCAAGCATTCAGCAGACAGCGGAATATTGGTATTGATCGCTACTAATTCCTGAATCGACACAAAAGAAAAAGAAACTGTTTGCAACAATTCTCGGGGGCGTTACCGGAGATGACCAAGAAACGCAAAAAAAAAAGAATGAACTTGGGATATCGTCCTGAACAAAATGAAGAACTACGACATGCGAAGGAAACTCTTAACAAAAACGCTGCCACCCAACATAGCCTAAAGCATAGCTTTGGTTGACAAAAACTTTTTACTTAGTCCTTATAAGATGACAAAAACCTGCAAATATTGTGCATAAAATTTTTGTAAATAAGCATCGGAGTTTTACCACAAATAACAACATATGTTAGCTTTATATTAAAAAAAACTGGGCTGAAGTGCTGCGGAAATTTTGTGAAAGACTATTTGGAGATATTTCCAGCAACAAAAGCTCTCTAACAGTAAGAAAGTGTTACAAAAAACCTGTGAATTGTGAAAAATTAAATTTATTGATGTTGAAAGAGAAGATGAAAACAAAACTAGGTTTGTAAATCTGTCGGATCAGCCTGCTCTATAAATTTATGTATATCAAGTGTGTTGTGGCGTACTTAACGCATGGTCAGAAGCGGGCGAAAGTGGTAAAAACGAATACCCAGTTTTGAACGTGACGACAAAACCTGATGAAGATGGAAAATAATTGCTAAGTTTCGAATTCAAAAGATTTGTACATATGAGCTTTCAAGTAGACTCTGCTGGTCCGAAAAAACTGCATTTCACGAAATAAAAATGAGAGATCCCTTTTTGAAGGTCAAACTAGTTGACTTAGCGACAAAAACCCCCTCTGTAGTTTCACGGAACATCCAATCAAGGTAGAAGGACAAAATTTCATCCAAATCAGATCCAACAGATAGGTTTTCGAGAAAACCCCAACTTTCATTACATACAATCATGAACGAAATACCCAGAAAAAGGCTCCCATACATTGGGACTGAAGTCTCTTAGAAAATTGAGGAAATCAGAAATAAAAAAAAACCTTTAAAATCTTTTCAGCTAAAGGGCGCAATAATGCCTTTACATTTTCATCGTCGGTTAATCAACAATTGGATAAATTGATATCCGAAAGTATCTTTTAAAAATGCTTAAAAATCACTCAAAAACTTAAAGAATTCAAACATTTCCACAAAAATAGAATTTTATGACCTATTTTTTTTTACTTGCAAGAAAGACAAGTCAATCAAAATAGCGTTGAATTTCACTACAGATTTTCAAGAAAAAACGTCTGATTACCTTGGATTTCAAAACACTTACCTCAATTAAAACTGAACAGTTTTACGAGCAAAGAACGCATGTCAGTATAGTAGGGTAAAATATCACATGTACTTCCAATTTTTTACCGGTTTTTACGGGTTGAATGACATGCCGAACAATTTTCAAAGAAAAATGAATTCAACCACTGGAAAAATGTTTTTGCTCGTGTTTAATTTGAGGATATTTCAAAATTTTCCAAAATAGCTTCAAAGACCACGGCAAAATCAAACAGTAAACTTATATCAAATCTTGAAAAACACAACTTTGCTGTAAAATGTCCAAGGTAAAAATTGCAATAACAAATTTGAAAAATTGAATATTATTTCTGACTCAGTATTTTTAGCATCGGGTGATAAAACCGCTAGAATTAAAACTATACCAATCCCTCGGTATTCAAAACAATTTTGTTCATTATTCGGCTCGCCTAATCAATCAAGAAAGAAAAAAACGCTTTTTAAACGCTTTTGAAAAATAAAATCAAAAACTGTTAACCTGCTGTTAAGTGCACTTTTGTTATAAAATGAGAGAACAGAGTAAAAAACCGATACTTCCCAAAACTGACAAGGTACTTTTCTAGAACCATTCCGTGGGAGTGATTGAAGAACAAGCTCATTTGCAAACATTTTTTTACATTTTTTGGAGCGAAATTTTCAACCAATCTTTTGGAACTATTGGCCCTTGTTTGGGCAGCTAATATTTATGAAAGAAGTTTACGGCTGGGATTTGTTTTTAATTATTTAGGCATAAACCTACAAAATCAAGTATTGAGGCTAAAACATTCCACAATTCTGGCAAAATCAAGTAATCAAGAAAAAACCTTGATTGCTTGATTTTCTTTTTACAATATAGAATGAAAAATTTGTAATGGCCACAACTTCAAAGGTTGAAACAAATTTTGCTTCATCGAAGACATTTTAAAAAAACATTTTAGTGGTCGAAAATTCTTTAAAGGAAGCCATAATTGAAGATAGTATAAAAACCCTTAATGAATTTGTAATTAACCATATTTCTTCCGTTGTATCAGCAAGTTTCGGCATTGAAAGTTGACTACTGAACAATCGTCTTTTTCAAGGGAAAATCGAAAGTCGAAAATGGGATCTGAAATTTTTTATAAGTAATTTCACAAGTTTGATGAGTTGTTATGCATCGAAAACAAACTGTGAAAATTTTTTCCTTAGAACAGTAGTCCTTAAAAAACTTCACCTATCCTATCCAGAACAAATTGGTATGAAGTTCCTTTCGGAATTCAGGAAGTGGCTACACATCAATAAGATTATTCATTTACATGGAAAAACTGCTCAGAATGCATTAAAGCAGTTGAAAGTGTTAGGCCTTTGTTAATCGGAAATCAGATCCACCAATTACCGGGATAAAACT